ATCGTAGTGTTTACTTTCTGTTGCCACAATTTTGTATTATACTGTACTAAAATAATAAATTCAAATTTATTTTTCACATATTTTCCCGGAGTGGAATAGTTGTTATATATACAGTATCACACAGAAGATTTGTTCATGTTCACTTTTTTAAATCATGTGCAATGTTTTCTTTCATTCATTCAACAAATACAGAATACTTGCTGAATACAAGGCAATGTGCTAGGGGCTGTCGATAGTAAAAAGGGGACAAATAAACTATTTAGAGAAATAACAAGGTAGAACAGAGATGGACCACAAAATGGCAGAAAGAAACTTTTCCTGGAATTCAGTTGCAGGAGGGATTGGGGAATCTTAAAGAAAAAACTAAAATTAGGTAGGGCTTTCAAAAATTGGGCAAGATTTGGACTGGTAGAGGGGTGTGGGAAAGGCATTCTGAGCCAAGGAATATCAGTGCATGAAGTAGTAAAGATCTAGCAAAAAGGCAGTGGGAGCATGGGGAGGAATTGAGTTCAACAGTTGGAAGTGAAGTTCATAAAGAATGTAGGTTGGGATTTAGATTATGGGGACTTTGAATGCCAAAGTGAGCCTGGACTTAATTTTGTAGGCAACAGGGAGCCACTGAGGCCTTTGCTCAAGGGAAGTGATGAACTAAGCATGCCTCAGGAATATTAAGTAAGTGTGGTTGGGGAGACAGCAGACGCGGGAGGTAAGGAGGCTCCCTGGACAGCAATCACAGAACTAGGAAGGAGCAATGAAGGAATCAGAAGAACCTAAGCATGACCTGCCAACTAACATGCGGCATCCCAATTGTTGGCTCAGACTAGAACAGTGATGGCGAACCTATGACACGCGTGTCAGAGGTGACACTCGAACTCATTTTTTTGGTTGATTTTTCTTTGTTAAATGGCATTTAAATATATAAAATAAATATCAAAAATAGAAGTCTTTGTTTTACTATGGTTGCAAATATCGAAAAATTTCTATATGTGACACGGCACCAGAGTTAAGTTAGGGTTTTTCAAAATGCTGACACGCCGAGCTCAAAAGGTTCGCCATCACTGGACTAGAAGCTAATATTTGGGCCATTTCCCCCCCATTCTACTTGGCTTTCCTGTTCATCAGAAAGAATTAACTCCCAGACCAGTCCACACAGGTTATGCTTATGGAATGCTGCTTTCTGCTTCTCTTAGACTCCTTATATAACCCCTACACCTGGCTGCTGCCCAGCAGGCATCACTGACGCCCCAGATCCAAGAATAGATCTGCTGATGCAATGCTTCCTGCTGCGTATATGCTGACAGTTTCTTGGAGGCAAAAAAGGTGGTTGTAGTTGTCTCTCATGATGTTGTAAGATTGCTCAGTTTGGGGTTCTCAGAAGAAAAGTAGTTTTAACTCATGGAAGAAAGATACTCTGTAAGGCCCAAGAGCTGGATTCAGGGCTGGGGGTGGTGGGTGGGGAGCTCAGGGTGCAGAATCCAACTTCCCTGAAATGCTGAAGTCCCTGGATCAGTTAAGTAATTGCAGGCCACAGACACTTTCATCACAGATTTCTTTTTTTTTTTTTTTTTTTTTTTTTTTTTTAAATATATTTTATTGATTTTTTACAGAGAGGAAGGGAGAGAGATAGAGAGTTAGAAACATAGATGAGAGAGAAACTTCGATCAGCTGCCTCCTGCACATCTCCCACTGGGGATATGCCCGCAACCCAGGTACATGCCCTTGACCGGAATCGAACCTGGGACCCCCCAGTCCACAGGCCGACGCTCTATCCACTGAGCCAAACCGGTTTTGGCTCATCACAGATTTCTTGACTTCGGACTGCTCACTTACAAGTTTCCCTGTGCAAGTGGCAGATTTTATTTTAGATAAATGTCTTTCAGCCATCTCAGAAAAACATGGCTAGAGGACACCAATAAACAAGACTCCCAGTGCTGAATCTCCTGCAAGAATTCAGCTGGTTTCACCCCCTGCCCCTTGCATGAGAAGCTTTTCCTCAGATGGTGGAGTTAATGAAGTGAACTGAAGCAGTCAGGCCTCCTGGGATGGAAATGTAGTTAAAAGGCCCCAGCGTTCCTCTGACTGAGGTCCTGGAAACAGCAGGCTGGAGGAAGACAATTGCTCAGAGAAGGCCACTCACTGACTGAGCTCCATGGCAGAATTTTACTAAAATACACGCAAAGAGCAACACATCATTAGCCAGTGTGAGTTAGGAAATTTGGGATAAAATGTGTGGAACTTGTCAGGGGAAGGAAATGAGCATAACGGGAAATTAAATCGTATATTCCCCTCACTATCCCCAGCCAGATAATAAAACAAATAGATGCCAATAGACCAGAAGAACAAGAAAGATTCTCAGGTAATTGTGCAATTAGCCTTAATGGGTGAAGACTAGAGGAAATCAGGTGATTGAAACTGTTTTTCTCCTCGAGCCCCAATCTTAAATATGGTTATCAAAAAGTGTCATAAACTTTGGTTCCATGTTTAACTTCGAAAGCCAAAGACTCACACAATCCCCAGTACTTGGGATCTTGGGGACAGTTTAAGAGTTTCATATTCAATTCACCTTTTAAAATTCAAACAAAAAGTTCATCTCATTGCTGGCCCGGAGTCACCACCTACTGGCCAGATAGGGAAGTGCATGTATAAAATGTACCTGGTCACACTCCAATCAATGCAAGGAAAAGAGCCAGGCCAAGGGCAAAGATATTAACAATGACTAAGATAGCTAGATCGGAATAGTAATAGATTAATTAAACACTTGTGGTAAGTCAACAGAAATAAGTCTTAAAATTTCTTCATGGCCATGAGGGATTTACAGAACGAAACTAACATATCTTTATTGATTTCAGAGAGGAAGGGAGAAGGAGAGATAGAAGCATCAATGATGAATGATTAGAGAGAATCATTGATTGGCTGCCTCCTGCATGTCCCCTACTGGGGATCAAGCCCACAACCCAGCCATGTGCTTTTGACCAGAATCGAACCCGGGACCCTTCAGTCCGCAGGCTGATGCTCTATCCACTGAGCCAAACCAGCGAGGGCTACAGAACGAAATTAATACAGATGTGGGATAGTCACCAGTGTCTACTTTACCAAAACTCCTAATGTCTTCTCTTCCAAGAAATATCTACTACAGTTATGATTTCTGGGAACCTTGAAGCCCTGTTTCATGTCTGAGTTAATCAGCAAACATGATCAAGAAGATGGGGAGAGAACTAGAGCAGACATCAGCAGCCTTAATGGTTTTGTCTCTTACACACGGGGGTTGGGAGGAAATAATCTGATTGATCTAATCGTTCATTCTCACAACCTTAAAAATGACATTAAGCCCTGTCTGGTGTGGCTCAGTTGGTTGAGCGTCATCCCAAGCCCCAGAAGGTTGCTGGTTCCATTCCCAGTGAGGGACCATGCCCAGGTTGTGGACTCGATCTCCACAGGTGATCTCCACAGGGTGAGGGGAGTGCAGAAGGCAGCCGATCCATCTCACATCAATGTTTCTCCCTCTCCCTTCCTCTCTCTCTAAAAATCAATAAAATATTTCTTTTAAAAAAATGACATAAATACCAATATCCCTGTCTTCCAGAGATGACTAGAGAATCAAACCATCCATATGGCTTTAGGTCTGTTGGCTGAAAGTACAATAGTAAGATCCTCCTGAATTATTTCTTACTGCTTCTACTGAGGCATAGCATCATCGTTAGTCCTAACAACAAAACACTCAGGACACGGAGGATGGTAAAACTCCACTTTATTAACACAAACAGAGAAGACACTTCTGTACCTGTTAAACACAGGGAGCTGAACAGCGTGGTCAAGCCACCCTGCGCTACTTATGCTAACACACTGCCAGGCGACAGCAGTGCACCCCGCTGTGCTCCAGGGCTCTGCTACAGGTGATGTGAGAGTCACTTCATGTGCAAGGCCTGCAGCTCCCATCCCCGAGATACTTTATTCCCCCTTAACATCCTCCCTTGAGATTAGGATGAGCGGCCCTGGAGGAAATACAACAGCTGGACTTAAAACACTAAGAATATTCAGGGACCAAGATTGGTTGTTTTCTGTAAAACATTAAAATCCTCCAGAGGCCTCAGGAGAAGTAATTCGACGTATTCTACCAACCACATGGTAGGTGTGTATATGGGACACAGCACTCAGAAAATTTTGGAGTGGTGGGATCTGAAACACATCATATAGTGCACAATTTATCCCAGAGAAAAACCACAAAGCAACATTGCTCTGCAGCAAAAAAAAGTCCAGCAGGTAGGAAGGTAAAACCAGAAAAAGAATCACTTACGTATTTTGGAAATAGGGCTTTAGAGAAAGACTATAAGGTTTGGAGAATATGTGTCTTCATTTTTCTCCATGCATGAAGCAAAGCACAATATCACTACTTAAGCTATGATTTTTAAAAACCTGCCTTTTATATAAATATTTAAATGGGTAATAGACTCACTAAACTAGAATAAAAATTACCCGTTGGGAAAGCCTGAGGTAATCCTGCAGTTGCCATGTTTCTGAAACTGGTTTACACATAATCAACATGACCCATCTTCCTACATTAGTTTTATTCAAAGACTAGGGGGACTTTTTGAGGGGGGGGAAGGATTAAAAGAAAAATGGACTGGCGGATAGCTATCCTATATAATAAGAGGGTAATATGCAAATTGACCATAACGGCGGAACAACCAGGAAGGGCTGGTTGCTATGACGCGCACTGACCACCAGGGGGCAGATGCTCAATGCAGGAGCTGCCCCCTGGTGATCAGTACACTCCCACAGGGGAGCTCTGCTCAGCCACAAGCTGGGCTGATGGCTGGGAACGCAACGGTGGTGGCAGGATCCTCTCTCACCTCCTCGGCAGCACTAAGGATGTCTGATTGCAGACATCCCCCGAGGGCTCCCGGGCTGCCAGAGGGATGTCTGACTGCCAGCTTAGACCCAATCCCCTGGGAAGTGGGCCTAAGCTGGCAGGTGGACATCCCCTGAGGGGTCCTGTACTGCGAGAGGGCACAGGCAGGGCTGAGGGACCCTCCCAAGTGTACAAATTTTTGTGCACTGGGCCTCTAGTGTTAATAAATATATTATAGAGAACAAAATAAAAGATCAAGGAAGTAACTTTACTGAGCATCTTCAAGGATGAATCCATCCTCATTTAAGCATTCTTTTGACTTAGGGTTACGGATAAAAAAGTTTCCAACAAGACGGCTTAGACTCCAGGACCAGTCCAGCACTGACACATGAAAAGGAATCACCTGGCAGGTGTGGCCCCAGGAGGTCACAGTTAGTCAGGGCACATGTCCAGGTTATGGGCTTGATCCCCAGTAGGGGGTGTGAAGGAGGCAGTCGATCAATGATACTCTCTTATCATTGATGTTTCTATCTCTCCTCCAAAATCAATTTTAAAATGTTTTTATTTTTATTTTTTAAAAAGGAGAAATCACTGGGTTATAGTTGTGGTACACCTTCCTGAGGACCAAGCAGGCCACCTACACTCCAATACTGTGACATACAGAATATGGCTGCCCTGGACTGGCTTTTCTGAAACTCTCCTCGGGTAACAGGCAAAAGCTGGTGAATTCTGTGAAGTGAGTAGAATTGTTTTGGGTTATAAAAAGAGGCATTTCTGGCAACCACCACCAGGAAAAGGCAAGTCACCTTCTCACTGAAGATGACCAACCAAGTACTGAAGACAAGCAGCAGCCAGTATCTGAAAACTGGTCGGATAGAGTCCTGGTCTTTAAGGGGCAATCAGGTTCTACTGGGGTTTTCCATATCAATAGTGGGCTCCATTTAAGAAGTTGCCAGTTCATTTCTAGAAGTACAAATTTTTTAAATATATGAAAGTAGAGAGATCAGAAAGAAACTCAGCTCTATTCTTTCCAGCCCTCCTTCATGTGGGACTTGCTTGTCTTGCCACTTTCACTTTAGTGTGTTCATACTTCTTTAATTATACTGTTTCCACTTTCTTCCCCGTCACAGACGAGATCCTTAACTGGCTTTTGCTCGACTAACATTCATTCTCTTCCAAACTTTCCTTTCTTTCTTCCTATTTTTCTCTCTCTTTCTTCCTTTTTCTTTCCTTCCTTCCTCCCTCTCACCCTCCCATTTTCTCCCTCCTTTTCTCTTCCACTTTCTCTCCCTTACTTTCTTTCCACCTTAAAAAACAATAACAAAGAAGTTTTTCATTGGCTTTAGATAATTAAAGCCAAGCAAGTAACAAATGCTAGTGTTTTCCTATGGTAACCACATTAAAATAGTTAAATATGGTATCAAGTACCCCTGGCCTCCATCGCCCAGCTCTTTAAGAACTGAGGTGGTGCTGACTGTGTTTCAGTTCTGTCTCATCCTCCCCGGCGACCCTTTTCTCCCTTGATTAGTTCCATGGCACTGAAGGCTGAGGAAAAATAGGAGCGGTTAGGTCCAGAAGGGGACTGACCTAGGAGACAGGCTGACATTGTTTTACACTGTTAGACAAGTAAGAAATGAAAAAGTGTTTGTACTGTTCCCTTTGCAAAACTCTCCCTTCAGGTTCGAACTTGGAACTTTCCAGCTTTGGTCATGTATTTTATGCCCTTAAAGGGTTTGTACTTCTCTCCATACATATCCAGGCGGTTCACTTTGAGTCCTGGAAGGAAGGAAGGAAGGAAGAATATGACATAAGCATGATTCAAAAGAAGTAGGTAGCATAACTGTTTAAATTCATTTCAATTCAAAGAGTGGGAGAGAGATAGTAGTAGCCATGAGCCAAAAAAAAAAGTATTAGAGGACCTGTTCCTGAAGTGGAAGGGCAGAAAGTTATATGCAGACTGAAATGAGGTGCAAGGAAAATAAGAGCACCATGCGTTTTCCTCTAGTTATTGTACTGAATACCTGAATCGACAGTGATGAGATCAAGGAATTAATAAAGAAATAAATCACCACTGAATGAATGGAAAATAATGAATAAATGAATGCTTCTTAAGTATTCTCACTATACTAAGCAAAAAAAAAAATTTATACCATATAAAACTTTAAAGTTTATTAAGTGTTTTAAGATGAAAGAGTTTTTAATTTAAGTAAATTCTAATCACTTAAATTAGACAAAGCCCTTTGGTAAAGAAAAATAGGAACTTCATGTAAAGTTAAAATCATTTCCTCTCTATCTTACAGAATTGTTCAACAGATTGAATAATAGATGTAAATAGCTTAAGACAGTACCCAGCACACAGTAAATACCCAGTAACTGCTAACTATTATTATTACTACTAGAGGCCCAGTGCACGAAATTCGTGCACTCGGTGGGGAGGGGGCCCTCAGCCTGGATTGCAAGAGGGCGCAGGCCAGGCCAAGGGACCCCACCGGTGCACAATTGGGGCTGGGGAGGGAAACTGGAGGGTGGCCAGCCAGGGAGGAACCGAGGGAGGGCTCCAGGATGTCCGGCCCATCTCGCTCAGTCCCAATTGGCCAGACCCCAGCAGCAAGCTTACCTAATGGTCGGAGTGTCTGCCCCTTGGTGGTTAGTGCACATCATAGGGAGCAGTTGAGTAGCCTTAGCATATCATTAGCATATTACGCTTTAATTGGTTGAACAGCCAACCGGACGACCGGACACTTAGCATATTAGGCTTTTATTATATAGGGTCATCTTGAAGTAAGTATAGACTATAGTGAACTGACTTGGGTAGGCCCAAGGATTCTAAATGATAACAAAAGCAAATGTGGCCCTGGCCAGTATGGCTCAGCTGGTTGGAGCATCATCCCATATATTGAAAGGTTGTGGGTTGGATGCCCAGTGAGCATGTACCTAGGTTGGGGGTTCAATATCTGGTCAGGGCACAGACACAAGACAATCAATAGATGTTCTTCTTCTCTCTCTCTCTCAAATCAATAAGCAAATCCTTGGGTGAGAATTTTTTAAAAAGCAAATGTAAAAGTCTTCTGAAATTGGGGGAAAGGAAAGGAAATTATTCAATTACCAGCTGAGAGTACAGAAGCATTCCCACACTGAAGACCCAGGAAAGCCCAAACTGACACCTAAGATGACTCAGCAACTGCCCAGAAACATCTCTGCCTACCAATATTGTTCCTGTCTCAGACACTTTTATTCAGGTCCCTTAGGCCAACTTCAAAGCAAGTATTATAAACTTTCCCCAGAAATACACTAGAAAAGATTTTACTAAAGATTACATATCCTATATAATAAAAGTTAAACATGCAAATTAACCATCCCTCTGCTATGCTGAAGCCACGCCCACCAGCCAATCAGGGGTGAGTATGCAAATTAACCCCGCTAAGATGGCAGCGGCCACAGAGCTGGAGTGAGCAGGAGGCTTGGGTTGCCCCCAGCGACGGAGGAAGCCAAGCTTCCCACCCGCCCTGGCCGGCTCTGAGCTCCTCTCAAGGCTACAAAGTTTCAATTATAGAAGATAAATAAATCCCAGGAGAAAAAAAAAAAGGAGAGGCTGGGAGCTTGGTTCGCCGGGGGGCGTGGCCAGCCCAAAAACGGCCCTCAGCCCCTCACCCAGACTGGCCACACCCCCATGGGGCGAGAGTCCCTGCTGGGGGGCTTGGCCAGCCTGCAAACAGCCATCAGCCCCGCACCCAGACTGGCCACACCCCCATGGGGTGAAGGTCTCTGCTGGGGGGGTTGGCCAGCCTGAAAACAGCCATCAGCCCCTCACCCAGGCTGGCCAGGCACCCCAGTGGGGACCCCCCCACCCTGAAGGGGGTGTGGCCAGCCTGAAAACAGCCATCAGCCCCTCACTCAGGCTGGCCAGGCAAACCAGCCGGCCCCCACCCATGCACCAGGCCTCTATCCTATATAGTAAAAGGGTAATATGCCTCCCAGCACTGGGATCAGCAGAGCCGCGAGGCCTCCCAGCACCAGGATCAGTGGAGCTGAGAGGCCTCCCGGCACCGGGATCAGCGTGACAGGGGGCAGCGCCCAAACCCCCTGATCACCCTGTGGCTCTGTGTGTGACAGGGGGCGGGGCCACAACCTCCCTATCCACCCTGCTCTGTTCGTGACAGGGGAAGGCACCCCAAACCCCTGATCAACCCTGCTCTGTGCCTGATAGGGGGGAGCTCCCCAACCCCCTGATCACCCTGAGGCTCTGTGTGTGACAGAGTGTGGCACCCCAACCCCCTGATCGGCCCTGCTCTGTGTGTGACAGGGTGCGCCGCCCCAACCCCCCACCCCCCCCACGGGCCCTGCTCTGTGTGTGACGGGGTAGAGCCATAACCTCCCCATCGGCCCTGCCCTGAGTGTGACAGTGGCGGCGCCCCAATCCCCTGATCCGCCCTGCTCTGTGTGTGAAAGGGGGCGGTGCCCCAACTCCCCTATCGGCCCTACTCTGTGAGTGACACGGGGGAGCTCCTCAACCCCCTGATCAGCCCTGCTCTGTGCGTGACAGGGGGGAGCTCCCCAACCCCCTGATGGGCCCTGCTCTGTGCGTGACAGGGGGTGGCGCCGCAACCTCCCCATCGACCCTGCCTTGAGTGTGACAGGGGGCGGTGCCCCAACCCCCCAATTGGCCTAACCTGAGCGTGACTGAGGGTGGCATCGCAACCTCCCGATCTGCCCTGCTCTGTGCATGACAGGGGGCAGCGCCCCAACTCCCCAATCAGCCCTGCTCTGAGCCCGACCAGGGGCTGCACCTAGGGATTGGGCCTGCCCTCTGCCACCCGGGAGCAGGCCTAAGCCAGCAGGTCGTTATCTCCTGAGGGGTCCCAGACTGCGAGAGGGCACAGGCCGGGCTGAGGGACCCCCCCTCACCCCCCCCCCGAGTGCACAAATTTTTGTGCACTGGGCCTCTAGTCCTATATAATAAAAGGGTAATATGCAAATTGACCCTAACAGCAGAACGACTGGGAATGACTGGTCACTATGACACACACTGTCCACCAGGGGGCAGACGCTCAATGCAGGAGCTGCACCCTGGTGGTCAGTGCTCTTCCTCAGGGGGAGCTCTGCTCAGCCACAAGCCAGGCTGATGGCTGTCAGCACAGCAATGGTGGTGGGAGCCTCTCCCACCTCCTCAGCAGCACTAAGGATGTCCAACTGCAGCTTAGGCCTGCTCCCCGCTGCCAAGTGGACATCCCCCAAGGGCTCCCAGGCTGCCAGAGAGATGTCTGACTGCCAGCTTAGGCCCAATTCCCTGGGGAGTGGGCCTAAGGCAGCAGATGGACATCCCCCGAGGGGTCCCAGACTGCGAGAGGGCACAGGCCGGCCTGAGGGACGCCCCCCGCCCTCTCCCCCCCAGGCGAGTGCACAAATTTTTGTGCACCGGGTCTCTAGTCAGATAATAAAGTCAGACTCGATAAGCTGGGAGCCAAGAGAAGGTTTTGTGATGTCTGTGCCATTTCTGTTCTCTTCAAAGCCATCTAAGCAGTGGGGCACTTACCAGAAATGGCCAGCTGCTGGATTTTAAACTGCAGGTTAATTGTGGGGTTCTCATCTGGTTTGGAAGCTCCAGCCTGAAGACTCATGGTCCCCTTCAAACTTGGTAGCTTTTGGGGATTTATTTTTCCTACATCCCAAGACAGCATCTTCAAAGAAAAAAAAAGTTACAGCAGAACCGTTCATGTGAGGTTGCTGAGCTCTAACCTCAGGGCAACTGTTCACAATATTATAAGGTGCCTCTAGGGTGTTTCTCAACAGAGAACACGATTTGTTACCATAAAATATCTCCAGGAGAAAACAATGCCCCTGTGACTGACCGCCCCTTTCAACAAGGTATAAAGTCTGTGGGGAGAGCTCCCGCAGAGTTACTTCTACTTAATGTCAGCAATTCAAAACCTCCTGCTTATTCTCCTACCTTAGTAACTGGGTCAAATGTGTGTGTCCCCTGAGATGGAGTGAGGCTCATATTCAAGACCCCTTTGGGCATCTGGCTGGTGACAATCACTCCCTCGATGGTCTTCCCCATGGTCTGCTTTGGTCCCACTGTTATTTCAAAGCGTCCAAGTGAACTACTGTCCCGGAAACTGATGTTATGTTTGACATACACTGGAATCGCCACCAGACTGGAAAAGAGACGCACAGAAGCCCATTTCATGAATGTTCTGGGAAAATGGCAACCTTTCCTCCTCCTCTGCCCTGTTGGCAGCTTTTCCTCCCTTACTTGCTTCCTTATTCCTTATCTTAAAAATTAAGCACAGGAGGAAAAAAAACACCTAGTGATCTTTGATTTTTTTTCTTTTTGTAAAGCTAAGATGCTATCTAGTAAGTAAACTAACCATTCTTAATAACTCTTTGAATAACATCCTTAATATCAAAGAGTATGATAAGCCTACTCTGAGAAAGGCACTATGAACAAAAATTAGGAATCACCATATTTCTGTTTTATTTTGTGACATGTGATTGATAATTATTTGTACTTGGGAGAATATTATTCATGCATCATGGACATTTTATAATTTCTTGAACTTTTACCTGACCTCATCTGATCCTTACAAAAACCTATGAAGTAGTGTAGTTGTCATGATTTGATCAAAGAGGAAATACAGAAGTCACAGAATAATAACAGTTCTTAAAATCTATTAAGCACTTCCTGAGTACCAGTCACTATGCTAAATGCTTGATCTCTATTACCTCATTTAATCCTCCCAATAAGTATGAAATGGGTACTGCTACTGTCCTGGTTTTATAAATGAATACTGATATGCTTAACCTCAGTTAAGTGACCTTGCCCAAGGTCACATACCATAAGTACTGAAGGTGGAGCTTAGGTCTAGGCAGTCTGATTCCAGAGTCTTTGTTCTCAAGCACTCAGATATTTTATATATTATTTTTATATATTTTATATATTCCAAATCACACCAGAAAGGTATTGGTGGTTCTAAGGTCTCATGGCTCTCTTCAGTTCACATACCTTCTACTGTATACCTTCAACTAAGGGCTCCAAAATACCTTAGACTCATATTACAGAGAATGTTCAAGATCAAAAATTATTGCAGTCTATGGTTTTCATTGCATAATTTAATGCTTCTTTGGGGTTGGGGGCATTGAGTACAGGTGTACTCAGATTCCAATTTGAGAAAGAAAATACTCTTGTTTAGACATATAATAATCACAACAAAAATAATGGCAGCAAACTTAATGAGCACTTACTTTGTGATCAGCACTATTTAGATTCTCTTATTTAATCCTCATAATAAGGTACTTTTATTATTTTCAACTTGATGTTAGAAAATAGACACAGCCCAGTCGGTGTAGCTCAGTGGTTGAGCTTCAACCTATGAACCAAGAGGTTCGATTCTCGGTCAGGGCATAGGCCCGGGTTGCAGGCTCGATCCCCAGTGTAGGGCGTGCAGGAGGCAGCCAATCAACAATTCTCTCTCATCACTGATGTTTCTATCTCTCTCTCCCTCTCCCTTTCTCTCTGAAATCAATAAAAATGTATTTAAAAAAACAAACAATCGTCCTAACCCAGTGGTCAGCAAACTCATTAGTCAACAGAGCCAAATATCAACAGTACGATTGAAATTTCTTTTGAGAGCCAAATTTTTTAAACTTAAACTATATAGGTAGGCACATTGTTATTAACTTAATTAGGGTACTCCTAAGGCTTAGGAAGAGCCACACTCAAGGGGCCAAAGAGCCGCATGTGGCTCGCGAGCCACAGTTTGCCGACCACGGTCCTAACTGGTTTGGCTCAGTGGATAGAGCGTCGGCCTGCGGACTGAAAGGTCCCAGATTCGATTCCGGTCAAGGGCATGCGGGCACATCCCCAGTAGGAGGCATGCAGGAGGCAAATCAATGTTTCTCTCTCATCGATGTTTCTAACTCTCTATCCCTCTCCCTTCCTCTCTGTAAAAAATCAATAAAATATATTTAAAAAACATACAAACAATCAAACAAAAAAGAAAACAGACATAAAAAGGTTAAGCAACTCACCAGAGAGTTTACCCAATTAGTACATATAGAAACTGGAATTTGAACCCTGGTAACTCCGTAACCAGAGTTCTTTTATATATATATAATCTGTATTGATTTCAGAGAGGAAGGGAGAGGGACAGAGAAATAGAAGCATCAATGATGAGAGAGAATCACTGATCGGCTGCCTCCTGAACGCCCCCTACTGGGGATCGAGCCTGCAACCCAGGCATGTGTCCTTGACCAGGAATCAAACCTGGGACTCTTCAGTCCGCAGGCCGACACACAATCCACTAAGCTAAACCGGCCAGGGCCACAATCAGAGTTCTTAAACACTACGGATATGGTTTACACACACACACACGCCCCATTCTTAATAATAAGGCTGCTTACTTCTGGGCACTGACATGGTAAGAGAGCAGGCGAAAGTTTCCATCAGGAGGGATGAAGGAGAGGATGCGCTCAGATTCCCAGCGCTTGAAACGAACACAAGGATGGAAGCTGACATCATCCAGCAACCTGGGGTTCTATAGTTGCCAGGCAAGGAAAACCAAGAGATAGGAATTAAACACCCACATTTCTTTCAGGAGTAATTTAGGTGCTGTTTTTATTAAAATACATACACACATACAAATTCTCTGGTTACTTATAGAGAATTCAAGCCTGACACAAGCTGCATGGCTGTCCTTCATTATATCTTCTTGCTCCATTTCATGCTCACCACTCTGTCTTTCCAAAAGCATCTAATTTCCCATCCCAAGAACTAAACCCGTGGACCAGGCTTTTACCATGAAGGAAAGGGTAAGGTCTGGCATTCCAGTCAGTTTGACACAAGCATCAATCACCCCCTGGATTTCAGCCGTAATTGTGGAACCTGAGACAGGAACAAGACAAAAAGAAGGTAAGGATTATTGAACTCTTCTCTGTTCTTCCCAACTTATTTCCTTCTTCCCTCCCTCCTTTCATCTCTTCCTTCCTCTATCCCTCCCTCATTCTCTTTCTTCTTTCCTTCTGTCTATACATCCAATTCATCTACCTAGCATTGTCCATCCTTCCAAACATTTACCAACCTTATATCAAGTATGAGATACTTAGATGAAGTCATGGGGATAAAAAATAAATGAGATAATTAGTCTAAAGGAGTTTTCAATCTAGTACCAGAATCAAACAGAATATCATTACCCTAACCCAGTGATGGCGAACCTATGACACGCGAACTCATTTTTTTGGTTGATTTTTCTTTGTTAAATGGCATTTAAATATATAAAATAAATATCAAAAATATAAATCTTTGTTTTACTATGGTTGCAAATATAAAAAAAATTTCTATATGTGACAAAGCACCAGAGTTAAGTTAGGGTTTTTCAAAATGCTGACACACCGAGCTCAGAAAATTTCGTATCAGAAACTGCTTTCCCTAAGGCAGGGGTGGGCAAACTTTTTGACTCGAGGGCCACAATGGGTTCTTAAACTGGACCAGACTGCCGGAACAAAAGCATGGATGGAGTGTTTGTGTGAACTAATATAAATTCAAAGTAAACATCATTACATAAAAGGGTTCGGTCTTTTTTTTTTTTTTAGTTTTATTCATTTCAAAGGGGCCGGATCCAGCCCCGGGCCGTAGTTTGCCCACGGCTGCCCTAAGGCCACCAAGGAGCTGTGCTGCTATATGGCATGGACACTTGGTCTTTATCCTACAGGATCTCTCTGTAGCATACGTCACTGTTTACCCCTTCAAAACCTTCCCCTCTCCTCGCTTTCTACTTTTTTAGCTCCTCGTCTGCAGTGCCTTCTGCAGCTTTCTTCCTTTTCACATCCTGTAAATGTCTCCGCTTTTTCACAGTTCTGAACATCTCTTTCTTCCATCAACACTCTTCCCTTGGGTTACTTCGCCTATCACCCCAGGCTTCAGTTTTCATTGATGACCAGTTATTTCCTAATATGTTTTTCCGGTTCAGCCAACGGGACAGCTCCACTTGGATTGTCACAGAGACACTTCAAACTCTCCATGTCAAAGTGAGACATTATCTTCGTTTCCAGACCTGCTCTTCCTATTTCCCATATCTTCACGATGATCCCATCTGTCCTGTTGCCTAAGCCAGAAAATCCTGTCCACTTCTAACTCTTCAGTGCCTACATCTAACCAATTATCATTTCCTCTCTTTTATATGACTTCTACCTCTTAAATCTACTCATTCCTTTCCACCCTCACTACCATTGTGGATGTCTATATTTTGTGACTTCAGCAACTGCTTTCCCTGCCTTCAGTCCTACCCCATTTCAAGCCATTCTTAATACTGCAGCTGGACTGATAGTTCTACACTATAAATCTGTTCAAGTTACTCCCCAACTTAAAACTTTTCCCGTGTTCCAAATAATCTTCCTTAAAATGGCACACAAGACTCTTCACAATCTAGCAATCTAGTAATTGTTGGGGTGGTTTTTTTTTATTCTTTATGAGGCAAAACTTATAGTAAAATGCAAAAATCATAAATGTTCAGCTCAATGAACTTTTAAATATGTACACACTTATGCAATACCACCCACATCAAGATGCGATTCCTTTTTAGCATCCCAGTGTGCTCCTCTTGCCCAACCTAGTTAATCCAAGTCCTTAAAATTCTGACTTCTGTTCCCTCAGATTAAGTTGCACTGTTTTCAAACTTCATATAACCATACGCATCTAAGTTTCTTGTTCAACACTATGAGATTTATTCATGTTGTTGGGCTTGTCAGTATTTCATTCTTTCTTATCACTGTATAGTATTCCATTGTATGACCACATCAAAATTTACTTATCATTTCTATTACTAATGGACATCAGTAATATTTCCAGTTTGGTACTAATATGAAAAGCTGCTAAGCCTTTTCTTTTTTTTTTTATGCTTCTCAATTCAGTCATACTAAACTACTTTATTTCCTAACAATATTTTATTCATCTTAAAGTGTTTGCACATACTTCACTCCAAAATCCATAAAGGTTTTAATAACTCCTACTCATTCCATTGATAAATCATAAACACTATCACCTCTTTACACTTTGTTCTGGATGAGTGGGATACCCTCTTATTCTCCACCTTTTTACCTTTCTCTCTCCCTCACTGGACTTAAGCATGCTTTCTGCAGCCATACTATGTCGTTCTCTCTCTCTATGCAACCCCTTTTTATCTCCTTTATTTATATAACTTCATCATATTTAACAACCAAATAGCATCATCATCATCATCAACATCAGCAGTAGCAACTACCATTTTCTCCTCATTTCCCCCTCCTCCTAACCCCTGGTAACCACCATTCTCTGCTCCTATAAGTGAGATCATGCAGTATTGGTCTTTCTGTATCTGGCTTATTTCACTTAGCGTAATGCCTTCTAAGTTCATCCATGTTGTTTAAAATGGCAGGATTTCCTTCTTTTTACAGCTGAGTAATATTCCATTGTGTGTGTATATCTATCTTACATCTGCTTTACCCATTCATCCACCAACAGACATTTAGTTAGTTTCCATATCTTGGCTACTGTGGATAACGCTACAATGAACAGGGAAGTGCAGATATCTCTTTGAGATACGTATTGTATTTCCTTTGGATATAACCAGAGTGGGACTGCTGGATCACAAGGTAGTTCTGTTTTTAATATTTTGAGGAACCTCCATACTGTTTTCCATAATGGCTGTGCCAATTTACATTCCCACCAACAGTGTACAAGGGTTACCTTTTCTCCACATCATTGTCAACACTTATCTTTTGTCTTTTTATAATGGCCATTCTAACTGGTACAAGGCAGTATCTCCTAGTTTTGATTTGCATTTCCCTGATGATTAGTAATTGTTGAGCACCTTTTCATATACCTGCTGGCCATTTTTATGTCTTCTTTTGAAATATGTCATGTACTATGTCCACTTTTTAGACAGGTTATTTGTTTTTTGTTTTCTTTTGTTATTGAGTTGTATGAATTCCTTATAGATTTTGGAGAGTAACCCCTTATCAGATACATGGTTCACAAATATCTTCTCCCATTTATAGGATGCCTTTTCACTCTGTTGATTGTTTCTTTGTTGTACAAAAGCTTTTTAGTGTGATGCAATCCCATTTGCCTATTTTTGCATTTGTTGCCTTTGCTTTTGGTGTTATATCTAAAATAAATTGTTGCTCAGACCAATGTCAAGAAGCTTTTTCTCTATCTTTTCTTCTAGTGGTTTTATAATTTCATATCTATGTTTAAATCTTTAATCCATTTTGAGTTGATTTTGTCTGTAGATATATGTCTGTGAATATTCAGTTTCCCTGACACATTTAATGAAGAGACTCCTTTCCTCATTGTATATTCTTGGTACTCCTGGTGAAGATCAGTTGATTATAAATGTATGGTTTTACTGGTATTTCTGAGCTCTATATTTTGTTTCGTGAGTCTATATGTCTGTTTTTATTTCAAATGCATACTGTTTTAATTAATGTAATTTTATAACATATTTTGAAATCAGGAAGTGTGAAGTTTCTAGCTTGACTCTTCCTGCTCAAGACTACTTTGGCTACTTGGGGTCTTTTTTGGTTCCATATGACTATTAGGATTTTTTTTTCTATTTCTGTAAAGAGTATCATTGGGATTTTGATGGGGATAGCATTGAATCTATAGAATGCTTTGGGTATTGTGGACATTTAATAATGTAATTCTTCTACTCCATGAATACAGGTGTTTTTCCATTTATCTGTGTCTTCTTTAATTTTCTTCATCAAGGTTTTATAACTTTCAAGATACAAATCTTTTACTTCTTTGCTTAAGTTTATTCCTTAGTCCTACGTATTTTATTCTCTTTGTTGCTATTATAAATGGAACTGTTTTCTTAATTTTCTTTTAGGATAGTTTGTTGTTTGCATATAGAAATGCCACTAATTTTTGTATGTTGATTGTTTTTCCTACAACTTTATTGAATTTATTTTTTTAGTTCTAAGAGCTTTTTGTTGAATCTTTAGGGGTTTGTCTATATTAATAAAAGGCCTGTGGCCATAACACCGTAACACCGTAATGACCAAAGACCAGTGCGGGTGGGGAGGGCGCACGAGTGGGGTGGGGGGGTTGTGCGATTTTGCACGCTGGGCTTCTAGTACATATATAATCATGTTGTCTGCATCATAATATTTAAGTTCATTCCTAGTCCCCAGCATAATTCCTGACATAAAGTAGGCACTAAGTTGAAATGAATGATTTTGAATGGGGGATAATTCTGCTAATAGAAAGCATTCTAAAAAGGGGGCCTCTTTCTATTTTCATAGTTTAAAAGATACATTAAAAATACCTACCTGATTTATCAATGATGGCATCAATCTCTTCAATCACATCAAAATAGGCCTCATTGTTGGTATATTTCACCCCAGTCCGTCGCCACGGCACCACTGACAGCTGCCCAGTGGGAAGCTGGTCACCCACATTGGTGCTTCCTGAGACAATGAATATTACTGTAATTTAATTCCAATTTGATGATTGGATGTAACCAATAATTATAGAATACTTCCCTAGATGTTTCTATGCTTCCACTATTCAAATAACTTTTCAAAAAAACGAGTTTTCCCAACTTCTATATGGGTAACCTAGTCTACTTTAAAAACTTGTCGCCATCTGGTCTGCCTTCTCAAGCAAAATAAAGGTTAAGAAAGTTACCTGAGAAACAGATATCATATTTTGGTTTTGAAAGTAACTTGAACTTGGTCTCTCAAATTCCACAATAGCTTGCAGCTTAAATGTATTGGCTTTCAGTGGAGATGGTAATCTACATATTGCTATAAAATTTTCATGGGTAAAAACAATATTCTAATTTGAGGTAGGTTCTTAGGTACATTTATGCTAGGTATTAAAATGTACACATCAATATAATCTCTCTCACACTAATACTTAAATTTAGGAAAAAAATACAAATTAGATCTCTCCCTATCTATAAGAATTATAAGAATTATAAATCAATTCCTTGCCTTGTTTTTCCCCCACAGGCATCAAAATATTTTTTTTAATTCAAAGGTTCTATATAATAAATTATGAAGTATTATAACTAATTAAAATATATTTCCTTCTTCTGTAAACTGTATCTTTTTAACCTAAAGAAAGAAACATTAAATACACATATACTCAGCATATTTACAAAACATTTCAGCTTTTCAAAAGTGGTTCTCAGATACCTTTTTCTAGATTTAAGTGAGATTCTGAAAAATGACTCAATAATATTCATAAATGATTCAGATACTAATAAATCTCTTTAAGGTTTAAAATAAGCTCCAAATATTGAAAATCCCAACAAATGTGTTTTCTTAAAAAGATGCTCTATATATTAAAACATCTCATCAAGCTATCATAATTAAATCAGTATGATAATAAGGCAGGAAAGCCTAAAAAACAGAAGACCAAGAATCCATAATGACTTAGTACAAGATAAAAATATCATTTGAAAACAGGGAAAAAAGATAAATTATTCAATATGTGGTGTTAGAAAAGTGACTGAAAATTTGGGGAAATAAACCTAGAGCCTTACCTCTTATTGATTAACAAAATAATTTCCAAATAGATTAAAAAATTAAATCCAAAAATAAAACTACAAAAGAATTACAAGAAAATTCACTTTAAAAAAAAGACTTTCCTTCTCCAAGATCCAAAGGGCATTCTCCTGTGCTTTCTTCTAACAGTTATAAAGTTTGTGTTTAACTCTAATCTAACTGGATCTTATTTCATTTCATGTATAGAATGAGTAGAGAGACTTCATTTTATTTCTATATTAAGGCTGACTGCCCCAATACAATAAATATGTTTAACAACTGGCCCATGGCTCACTGATTTGATATATGACAACATCTATCTATATCACATTTCTATAAATTCAAGAGTCTGTTTCTAGTCTTTCTATTTTATCCCAATCATCTATTTGCCTATTACTGGGCCAACTGGTATTTCTTAAATTACCAAAAATCATGATATGTCTTGTATTTGATAATACACACACATTTTCTCTCTTGTTCTTTTTTTAAAAATATTTATTTTCAAAACCATCTTAGTTTCTCTCTCTCTCCTGGTTTTTATAACTCATATCTATTCTTTGAGTTTTTGTCTCAAGCACCATATGAAATTGATATCAATATTTGACAAGGAAAAGCCTTTCCACCCCTTTGTAATTCTTTTTCAAAATTGTCCTGGCTATTTGTGCGTATTTATTCCTTTTAAAATGAATTTTCCAATTATTTTGTCAAATTCTAAGTAAACCCTGTTTATATATTAGCAAGACCCAAAATGTAAAGCCTTAAAGAAAAATGATTAATTTTACTAAATAAAAAAATGTTTAAATATGACTAAACAAACCATACCATATACAATGTCAAATGACAAGACAGATTGTGAGAAAATATATATAATAGAGTATTTAAAATATGTAAGGAACTCCCATAAACTATCATGTATATTTCCAAAATATATGGTAGTTTAATATCCTTAAATGAAAGGAATTATTTTAAACTAAAAAAAAAAAACCAAAAAACAATTTCAACAAAAATAATGGGCAAAAGACACAAGAAGTAATTCACAATAGAGAAAAAACAGTCAATAAACACTTGAGTAGGTTTTAACTCCCTTAGTCATAAAAAATGAGTGTGTAAATAACAAGATACCACTAAATTATCAAATGTCAAACTTTTTAATAATAATAATGATAGGGTTGGCTAGGGAGCATAGAAATTGCTACTGAAAGTATAAATTAGTGTAACTTTTCTGGAGTGCAATTTGGCACAATGCATTAAGTCCATAAAATGTGCACACCCTTTGGCCCAGCAGTTCTATTTTTAGTACTGAAAATAAATCATTCTAATATACACAAAGATTTAAGTATAAGAATGCTAATTCCTTGATATTTAAAAGAACAAAAAATCAGAAACAGCATAAATAGGGAATCAGTAAATAATTTAGGGTCTATTCCATATGGCAGAAAATTGTAAAGTCACTAAAAATGGTGAAGAATAGTTGACCTAATTGGACAGTGCTCATATATTGATAAAAGGTAAGTTTTAAGATATATATAAGTTGTTTAAAAAAATTCTATCCATTCATCTATAATCTGTTTGTCTAGAAAAGACAAAAAGTATATACACCAGTATGTTAAAAGTATAATGAGATTAAGAATTAATTTCATGTTCTTTGTGCTTTTCTGTATTTCCAACATGCCTACAATAATCGTGTATTTCTTCTGTAATCAGAAAAGAAATTATTTTTAAAGGAGAACACTTCATTCTGTTATTGAAATCACGGTATTTTACACATAATTAAAATCTACTTCAGTTCATACTCAAAGACTATAAAGAGCAAAATTAAAGCATTTGTATATCTGAGATCAAAGATAAGCACTCAAAACAACACACACACCAGACTAAGCCACACCCATGATGGCAGCAGCTTTCTGTGGGTTTCCGCTTTCTTCATACCTGTTATGGTGTTGACAACTGTTCGGAGGATAGTGGGAGGCTTTATCAGTTCTTTGAGGATGTTTGATTCGGTAGCTAATGGAAACCCATTATCAAGCATCTCTTCCAATACTTCATAAACCACAACCACATTGTCTTTGATCACTGGTTCTGAACAGACTCCAAAATAATCCTGATGAAAATACAAAATGTCTATTTATCACTCAGATACTGTAATAAGTGAAAGAGTGTTCCTAGAGAATAAGGATCTAGTCCTGCCCATATGTGTTTACTCAATGTTTGGGATATTCTTCTACAATAAGGAAATGAAGTACAACCATAGTTCTCGTAAGTGAAAAAAATACCAGACTGGCTATTAGTACTAGAGTCATTACTAACTTCTTTTATAAACTAAAGTCAGTCATTTAACTTCTATGGGTTAATTTCTTCAACTAGATATGTAGAATACAAAACTGAATCAAGACAATTATGTGTGCTTATGAACAAGAATTTGAAAGAACTATGATAATACTTCATAGATTAGACCTGAAAATCTTTTTAACCCTTACTGTGTACTTCTATCCTATATAATAAAAGCCTAATATGCAGATCGATCGAACAGCAGAACAACCGGTTGGTGGGGGGTGAGGCCGGTGAGTGGGCGGCACTAGGCTAGCCAAGGCGGGTGCCAGCGGGCAGAGGGAGGGGCAGCCACTGGTGGTAGCGGAGGGGTGATCGGGGGGCAGGGCCGGCTGCTCACCAGCCAGCACCGTCCACTGATCAGCCCATGCATCACCTCCTGCAGAGGGAGGCTAGACTGACTGCTGTCAGTTGGACATACCCTGAGGGCTCCTGGTCTGCGAGAGGGCCTAGGCCAGGCTGAGGGACCCCCCAAGTGCACAAATTTTTGTGCCCTGGGCCTCTAGTTCCTTAATAAGAATTTAGAGGAAAATAAAATAAAATGAGGGGGATGAACTATCATACCAGAAAATCACTTTAGATCATCCCTACTCTAAGATGCTAGGATTCTAAGAATGTTTTGTTCTTTTATTAACAAAGGCTGAACTTAGATACTAAATTATCTGGGGTGTGGAAAAGCTCTGGATTCCAAATCAGAAGACCTAGGTTACAATCTTAATTGTGACTTACTAGGTTACTTGATTAAGTCATACTAACCAATTTGGGTCTTGATTTCTTTTATAATCAGGATAATACCATTGGACACATAAGGATGTTGTAAGAATTAAACATGATTGATTAAATGATAATATATGTAAAAGTGCTTTGTAAACTATAAAACACTATGTAAAATTCAATGCACGATGATGAATTAATTTAGAAAGAAATGCTGCGGTCATTTCGTGTGCCCTTCTAGGAATGTCAGTGATGTCTTTTACTGGAACTAAGAGATAGTCATATAACCCTCCTTGAATTCATCCAAGGAAGGGAAACTGACCCCTTTTTGAGAAAGCCCATTCTATCCATGGACAGCTCAGATTATTAGAAAGTTCTATTGCTAAACTAAAATTTGCTTCCTAGATCTTCCTTAAAGAACAAGTTTATAGAATAGCCACACAGTTAACTTGAAGACAACTACAGGATTTCATTTCAACATTTTTACTCAGGGCCAAACTCCCTGTTTGATCTTTCTACTATTCATGCTATAGTATGGTTTCTAGATCATTTCACCATCTTACCATGTCTTTGAATATGCTCTGGTTTTCCAATATTCTCCTCAAATTATGACATCCAAAATTGATCATGGACTCCAGATGTGATCTAAATCACATCAGATAATGTCAATTATCGAAGCCATTCCAATATCCAAGAACACTTAGGAATGTGTTTCTAAAACAAAAAGATTGCCCAAGCCAGTTTTGCTCAGTGGACAGAGCATCAGCCTGTGGACTGAAAGGTCCTGGGTTCGATTCTGGTCAAGGGCACATACCTCGGTTGCAGGTTTGATCCCCGGCCCTGGTCAGGGCAAGTGCAAGAGGCAACCAGTTGATATTTCTTTCTCTCTATCTCTCCCCCTCCCTTCCACTCTCTCTTAAAAAATCAATGGAAAAATAACCTCGGGTGAGGATTAATAACAAAAGAATGAAGACTGATATTCCTAATTTAAAAAATAAATAAATAAATATAATAAAACAAACAGATTTCTCCTTTAAAAAATGGGGACTTAAGAGAAAATAAAAGTTATATTTTCCTTCCCAACACTGATTTTATTTTGAAAAATAAGTAAAACACCTCACTAGATTTTATAAATCAGGCAGAATGTGAACTCAGCAGTTGGAATGGAAACTTATAAATATGACAAAATGCTACAGCAAAAGTGCTTGCAATTCTACAGCTGAAATTCTTCCATTATATTCCAGTCCTAGAAATATAATACAGCCAGAGAGAACGACATCAGATAAGACACCAAAATCAGGATATATCCATTTACTTTTAACAAAACCTTCAAAGACGACAAGCTATGAAGTCCTAAACTTCCAAACAAGCCACTGTACTCTTTTCTCAAATTCCTCTGTGGTTTCAACTAGATTAAACAACGTTTCTCACTTCCTGTCTTATAATTAGATAATATCACTATGGCAATATGAAGCTGATGTCAAGTTTCACCAATGGGGCTGTTAATCTTAGAAAGTACCATATGTGGAGATCATAATGGGTCCCAATTAGAGTGGTTTAAGGCCATAACTACCGAGTTCTTTCACTTACAGTTCTTCCACATACTGGGGCTCAGGTTTTCACTATGTGAAGGAACTAGTATGCCACATGAGAACTAGAATCCCAGAATACTACTACCAGAAAGTATCTGTGGGAAAATTACGAAATATAATTCTCTTGGAATGAAAGCTGCTCCAGACATGTGATCTACATAGAAGGGCAAATGAAAGGACGCTTTGACGTGTTTTTCAATTTTCATCACAACACTTGGGTAGTCATTCTCTTCTTCTCCAGTTCTACAATCTCTGTATTCATGGGACTCATTCCAGACCTCACATGACATAGAACTTGAACCAAAGGGCCCTTGCTTCTCATTTATCATTTCAGTTATGCAAATACCACAAGTGTTAGAAGTTGAGCAAGTCTTTTGGGGAGAGGATTCCACTGAATCCAGAGTCTGGGCAGCCTAAAATCTTATGCTATAAATGGTGCTGCCATTGTCGTATAAATTACCTCCCCTTTACCCCACTGCCCAAAAATGTTCAAATCTATTCCTGAAAGAAAAACTCAAAATGAAAACTGTATCATGTAAAATGTGTTACTTAAATTTGGGGGTGGGGGTGTACAGAAGATTTCCCACCTTAGGTTTGCAATAAGAGCTCATCACTAGTATTCCAATGCTGTGGATAAGTACCCCAAACCCAAGATGAAATACAGGTTCACAAATTACCCCTGCCAGGGAGAGTAGATAAGCATTACTTAACTTCTCTACTTTAAAAAGTACATGTATCTTTATACACTTACCACTTTTTTATGTGACTCAACGCAACGTAATTAACAATGGTTAACATCAAGTCCACTATTAAAAACAAAAATAGCCCTAGCCAGTTTGGCTCAGTGGATCGAGCATCAGCCTGAGGACCGAAGGGTCCCAGATTTAATTCCGGTCAACGGCAGGCTCCTCCCTGGCCCAGGCCCTGGTCGGGGCTCATGCAGGAGGCAACCAATCGATGTGTTTCTCTCAAACTGATGCTTCTCTCTATCTTTCCCTCTCTCTTCCACTCTCTCTAAAAATCAATGGAAAAATATCCTCAGGTGAGGATTAAAAAAACAAAACTAAAGTCCTCTGATTTGTGAACAGAACATAAGACAATTCCAATTTCCAGAACTAAAATGACTGCACACTGTCATACTGAATAGGGTGGCTTTCTCATGCAACACGTTCAAAAGTATTCAATTTGTCATTCTAGATCGGCGGTTCTCAACCTGTGGGTCGCGACCCCTTTGGCGGTCAAACGACCCTTTCACAGAGGTCGCCTAAGACCATCCTGCATATCAGATATTTACATTACAATTCATAACAGTAGCAACATTACAGTTATGAAGTAGCAACGAAAATAGTTTTATGGTTGAGTCACATGAAGAACTGTATTTAAAGGGCCAGAAGGTTGAGAACCACTGTTCTAGATGCAGCCAATTCAATAAGTAGAATCAAGAATCTTATCAGGTGGGAGAGGAAGTGAACATTGTCAGAGTTTTTATTTATTTATTTTTAATGTCTTCCTTTTTGGTTGTTAATACTCATCCAAGGATATTTTGCCATGGATTTTTTAAAAAATATTTTTATTGATTTCAGAGAGGGAGAGGGAGAGAGAGTTAGAAACATCAATGATGAGAAAGAATCATTGACTGGCTGCCTCCTGCACCCTACTGAGGATTGAGCCTGCAACCAAGGCATGTGCCCTTGACCAGAATCGAACCCAGGTCCCTTGAGTTCACAGGCCAGTGCTCTATCCACTGAGCCAAACTGGCTAGGGCATTGCCATTGAGTTTTAGAGAGTGGATGGGAGGGGGAGAGAGAGAGGGAAAGAAACATCAATGTGAGAGCCACACATCGATTGGTTGCCTCCTGCACAGGGATTGAGCCTGCAACCAAGGTATGTGCTCTTGACCAGAATCAAACCCAGGACCCTTCAGTCTGAGGGCCAATGCTCTATCCTCTGAGCAAAACTGGCTAGAGCAGTTTTGATTTTCTTTTTTTTAAGTTTCTTAATTGAGCTGAATACAATGAAAACAGAATAAGGAAGATACTTTATCATGTAAGTGCATGAACCTCCTCACAATTACGCACCTGAAATGTGTCCACTACCCGGTGAAGGAACTCAATGACAAACAGAGGTGGAACCTCTGTCTGGATCACAGCCACAAAAAAGATCTTGTGCCGGTACACACTTAAGAGATAGTGGTGAGGGGTAGGGATAACAGGCGGTACATTTTCTGCCTCAGTGGCTCTCTCTTGTGCCTCAAAAAAGTAATCACAAACAGAACGGCTGACCACGCTTTTCCAATGTTTCTCCAGGAAAATATCTCCAGAGGAGTTGATCAAGAAAAGGCTATGAATCATGGTGGAGACTGTCAGTGAGAGAGGAAAGTCTTTTTCAGTCTGCACGCCTCAGGACTCTACAAATTTTCAACCCTAGAAAAAAAAGTTACGATTAGCTCCATTCAACCGAAACACCTTCCGCATCTTTTCCAGCAGTCCAAGTCTTACCCATCTTTCAAGACTAGACCAAGTCTTCCTCTACTACATGAGCCTGAAGTATCCCTCCCTAGAATTCCTAAGGATCATTATCAGCCATCTTGTTTGTCAATCAATCACATACTGCCAGTTGTCCTTACTAGTGCCTCAATCATGTCCATTTAAAATTCAACTTAATTTTTGGATGTGTGTTTTCTCAACTAGACAGGAAGCTCCTTGAGAAAAAAGACCAGGTTTCATGTTTTTTGTTACCTCATTGCACAGTGCCTCCTTGCAAATAAGAGGGCACCAAAAAATATTAATGAGTTGCATGTTTTTGGTCAAAACTCACACACATATAAGAAATGTTTATGGTTGTGTAGTCTCATATGGTAGCCATTAGCCAAGTATGACCAACGAGCACGTGAAATGTGGCTGGTCCAAATTGAGATGTTCTGTAAGTGTGAGATACACACCATATTTTGAAGGCTTTGTATGAAAATGAGAATTTATAATATCTTCCCAATGATTTAATATTGATAAAGTAATATTGATTTAATTTTGATTATATTTAATATTGATATTTTGTATGGATGGGGTTAAGTAAAATACATTAAAATTAATTTAACTTTAAAATGTGGTTACTAGAAAATGTAAATTTAGTATACAGCATGTGGCTCGCATTATATTTCTATGGGACAGCGCTGGTCCATGGAAGGGAAAGCTGCCATTGTGGTCTGATTCATTCAGTCAACCCCCGTTTTCTAAGTATTTGTTATGCACAAGGCTCTGTGTTAGATGCCTTTTTAAAAAATCCCTCTGGGGGAGACCCCTGGTCCCTCAGGCTACAGCATCTCTACGGTACCAGTTCCCAGGATGAGGCGGCCGCACTGTATCCCAACTGTGTCCACTCCGCGAACTGGCCCGGGAGGTTACACCGCAGGGGCCTGTTGTGCCAAGTGCCCCGGCGCCAGCTTACTCCCTCCGCCAGCGGACAACGGGAGGACGGGGAAGCCGAGAGGAGCTAGGACTTGGAGCAGAGACAGCTGCCAAAGTGGGTTCGTTTTGCGCTGGTCCCAGCCCAGCCGCTTGTGAGCCACAGACGACAGACACCGCTTGAGGCCGGGTGGCAAAGGGGGTAGATTTAAGGTGTGTGCACGTTCGGGAGGCGAAAGGAGTGGACGGGTTGCACACTGCGTTGCCATGGCAACAGTATCCCCTCCTCCCTCAGCCAGCATCCCGGAGCGGGCCACCTTCACCGCCCGGTACCCAGTCCCTTACCTCTCCCCGCAGCATCCCGCCGCGCGGAGGTTCAGTCTGGTGGCATCTCGTGACCCGGCCCCAGCCCCGCGCGCCCCGCCCCACCCTCGCGCGCCCTAGCCGCCACCCCCGTGGGCTGTGAGCGCACGTCACCCCCTTCCCAGACCCAGGTCGCCAGCCCTCCTCACCCGGCCTTGCTCTTCGCAGCGCCCACCTTTCCACTGCGCGGACAGGCCCCGCCTCCCCATTGCCCCCCGCGCGCGCACCGGTCGCCGCACGCCCGCTGATTGGCCGGCCTGGCCCGCGACGGAGGTCTGAAAGCCGCGGATTGGACTTCAGTGTTCCACCCCTCCCCTCAGATTGATTGCGGTTCGTGGCTCACCCAGTTCTTCGGCTCCAGCTCCCAATGGGCCCTTATCGAGGTTTCGTTCATCTCCGATTGGTGCAGCTCTGTGACTCCAAGCCCTGATTGGCTGTCGTGAGCAGTCGGCTGGCCGCCAGTCACAAAGGCCTGGCCGGCTGTTGCTGGCAGCTGCCGAACCGCGGGATGTGCCTCCAGGGGATGCTAAAAAGTGTGATTTCCGGGGCATTGATTTATCTAATAGCGTATCATAGATAATGAATCATGAGCAGTAACAACTACTCTCCATTAGATAAGTGCATTTAAAAAGAGACGTGGTGCCCTTTCATTTATGTGCATTGGGTATAGTAAAGGTGATGGGCGGTCGAGCCGTTCATCCAGAGCTCTGGACCTGGATTCTGGAGGCTTCTTTCAGCCCCAACTATACCACCACCTGCTTGACCTTGGGCAAGATACTTAACCTTTAAGGATCTCAGTTAGGTGTGAGGCAGGTATCTCTCCAAATTGCATTGAAACGCTAATGATGTTGATATTGCTATTATTTTAAGTGATTCAAGTCATTGAGCTCCAGAAAAGCACAGAGTAGAGGTCAGAAAACAAGATTCAACTTCAGCTTTAAAAAGCAGTTATTAGGTAAGGTGAGATAAGGAAAGTGTTTGCCTTGGTTCCTGGCACATTGTATGTGTTCAATACAATGCTGAAGTGTGGTGATGGCGGTAATGATGTCTACCTAGACCAGGAGGGTATCACCCTGACTGCTTCACTTTTCACGTGGGTAAAAGGGAGCGTGAGCAGCAGCTACTCCTTACACGGGACCATAATAGATGTTTATCGAAGAGGGCGTGGATAGTTTTCTGCCAGACTTGCTAAGGGCAGATATGATAGTTGGTTAATTTTGAACTGAGTAAATGAGAAAACCCAAAATCAAAATGGCTGGATGATGTGGCATCCCATAAGGGAACTTAAGGCTCCGGTGCCAGACTGCCTGAGTTTGAAGTGCTCCAACACTTACCAGCTGCGCTACCTCGAGAAAGTGCCTTAACTTCCCTAAACTTCAAGTTCGTCACTTCTCAAATAAGGACATTAATAGTACAAACTTTTTATTTTATTTTAAATCTATTTTTATTGATTTCAGAGAGGGAGGGAGAGGGAGGGAGAGAGAGAAGCGCCAATGATGAGAGAAAATCATTGATCAGCTGCCTCCTGCTCGCCCCTCTCCTGGGGATGGAGTCTGCCACCCAGGCATGTGCCCTGACCAAGAATCAAACTGTGACCTCCTGGTTCCTAGGCCGACGCTCAACCTCTGAGCAACACTGGCCTGACTCATGGAAGTTTCTATCTCTCTATCCCTCTCCCTTCCTTTCTTTCTCTCTCAAAATCAAGGAAAACATTTTTTTAAAAAAAAGGGGGATCGCCGAAACCAGTTTGGCTCAGTGGATAGAGCGTCGGCTTTCGGACTGAAGGGTCCCAGGTTCGATTCCGGTCAAGGGCATGTACCTGGGTTGCGGGCACATCCCCAGTGGGAGATGTGCAGGAGGCAGCTGATCGATGTTCCTCTCTCATCGATGTTTCTAACTCTCTGTCTCTCTCCCTTCCTCTCTGTAAAAAATCAATAAAATATATTTAAAAAATAAAAAAATAAATTAAAAAAAGGGGGATCATAAGTAATTCATTTTAGGATAGGTGGGGGGTTACATGAAGCTGGCTCTTCCTCTCCTCTTTGAACTCTTAAACTTAGAGTGTCCCAGGCTCTGGTCCTCGTCTCATGCCATGCTCACTCCTTTAGTCATTTCACCTGGTCTCATGATTTTCAATATTCATATACTGATAACTCCCAAATTTACATCGTTAGCTCAGACCCTCCTGATGCCTAGACTCATATATATCCAGCTGCCTTCTCAGCATTTCCACTTGGATGGCTAAGAGAGCTCTAGATATATTAAACTTAACATATCCCAAACTGAACTCCTGATTTTTTTCCCCCTTTAAACCTGCTCCTTCCATAGTCCTTTTCATCTTAGTTGATGGAGCCAGATGGTCAGGCCCAGGGGTCCTTCACTTTTCCATGTTCTCACTCTCCACATCCAGCTGGCTCCTCCCTCAGGCTATATATAGAATCCGACTCCTTCTCAGAATCTGACCTCCCTGGCCACACCCTGGTCCGAGCCCCATGTCTCTCACCTAGATTACTGCAGTGTATTTCCAACTGGTCTTCCACCCTGGCCCATATACAGTCTCTTCTCAATCCAGCAGATTGATAAATCAGATCCTGTTACTCCTTTGTTCAACCTTCCATTGGATACCCATTTCAAAAGCACTACAAGCCAAAATCTTTTTTTTAAAATATATTTTATTGATTTTTTACAGAGAGGAAGGGAGAGAGATAGAGAGTTAGAAACATCAATGAGAGAGAAACATCAATCAGCTGCCTCCTGCACATCTCCCACTGGGGATGTGCCCGCAACCCAGGCACATGCCCCTGACCGGAACCGAACCCGGGACCCTTCAGTCCGCAGGCCAACGCTCTATCCACTGAGCCAAACCGATTCTGGCAAGCCAAAATCTTTAAAATAGATGTCAAGAAGATCCTGTGAAACCCAGTCCCCACCCTCAACCCTAAAACCTCCTCTCCTACTTTACCTCCTGTTCATTCTACTCCAGCTACACTGTCACCCTTACTGTTCCTGGGACTCCCCAAGCACGTGGTGGTGGTAAAGCTTTGTTCTGCCCATTCCCTTTACTGGAGGCCCCGCGCCACACCCCCCCCCCCCCCCCGTGTCCCCATCTCCTCCAAGGTTTTGCTCAAATGTTTGTGGTCAGCCCTGATTCTGACACTTATAACTGTGTGACAAAGCCAATTACTTAACTTCTCTCTGCTTCAGTTTTTCCACCCACAAATGGGGAAACTGGTACTACTGCCTCAGAAGGATCATGTTATGTACTACTTTTTATAATCAGGGCAAAAAAAATGTAGCTGCCCATACAACAGTAAGATGCCTTTCACCTGTATGAAAAGGATGGTCACTGGTACATGCAGCATCCTGGATTGTGAGAGGGATGTCCGACTGCCGGTAGGCCCGACATCCCCCAAGGGGTCTCGGATTGCAAAAGGGTGCGGCTGGGCTGAAGGACCCCCCCCCCCCTTGTGCACTGCCGCGAGCCGGTCCATGCTTGCTGTTTCAAGGGACCTGGCATATATAGCATACTGTTCTTAATATGTTTGCTCACCTTCTTGGCACTATGTGTTTTAACCAAGGTCTCTGAGAAAGGTTGTTTTCCCAGGTAGGGATTTTCCCCTGAAGTTAGGGAGGGAATAAAACCTCTTAACTAGTGCCAG